AATATACTTTTCTCGTCTACTCAATGTATTTTTTTATTATTCCAATGAAGGTGAACATTACGTAAAAGGTGGTCGGTGTACAGACGTGGTCGCTTTATGAAGGTTGCCACATTGGCACACTTCAAATAAGATTTGGCAATCAAGCGTATGTTTACATCCGGTCGCGATGGCCGAGTGGTTAAGGCGTTAGACTAGAAATCTAATGGGGTCTCCCCGCGCAGGTTCAAATCCTGCTCGCGACGTTATTTTTTAAATATGCTTGAATTGATTTATTATCAATTATTTTATTGAAGAATATATACTTTAACGTGGTCTTAGATATTGAAAATACGTTATTTATAGAATAAAAGTTTTAAAATTAAAAAAATGGTTTCAAAACTCGATTYCAGCACCTCTTAAATCGTGAAAGATTTAAATTTAAAGCTAACATTGAATATATCAGAAAATCTGTTATTTTATTATTTTGTCGTTTTTTTAATGGAAATTTGATAAATTTATTAAATTTTCCAGGTCATGACAACTTAAGAAAGCACGTGACCAGGCCGCTGACATTCAGCGTGGGCGCAATATTTGGCGCGCCATTTTCTCAACCTCGTGGTCTACAGCGCGGAAAATTTGTGCTGAAAACATAAAAATTCTCAGTGTTTTTTTCACTGACAGCTCACATATTAAGCAAGGTAAGTAGTTAACCTACCAGACTAGTGTTTCGTTTGGTTTTACTGACAGGAAAGCTTTTGATTTTGCTTCGTTCCTGTTCTAAAAATTTCGTAATTTTTCCACGTTGAGATTGTGTCTTGCAATTTCAGTCTGAAAAATAAATATTTTCGTCAGTTCTCGACGAACAAAAAAGATTATCTAGGGAACGGTCTTCAATTCTCTATATTTTCAGCTCAAATTAACTTTCTATGATTAACGYKGTAAAGTTTCTTGTACAAACTTGTTGGTGTTTTGTACACTTCATGGCGTTGAACCTCCGTTTCATCTAAGAAACCTGCAAAAGTTTAAACCTTTAATTTACTTACATTGATCTTTGTCACTCTCTGTTTCTTTGTCTACCTAACTGTGAACAATTTTTATTTATTTTTTGCCGTAAAAGAATGTTTTTTAATGGTGTTTCGTCGCGTTAATGCCGAGAGGTTCTGGCCGATTGATTTACTAAGCGAAATTTACTTAATTTGTAGATTTCAAGCGTGCTCCTCGCCAAATTAGGTTTTTCATTAATATTAAGTTTGTACATTTTCCTTAAATGTATTTGATATAGGTCAATATTTATGAAGGAATGCTTTCACTTTTATGATAATTTGAACTTTAATGTCTTGAAATATAAATTAATTTTTTAAACTGATCTGTATTACCCTAAAATGCTCAATTTATTTTAAGTAGTTCTTTTTTGCAATTGCGCCGTTCAACAAGCATGACATTTTGCATGCACAAGCTGCTCTAATCCTTATAAATATTTATCTATTTACTGTGTAGGTCAATCTTAGTATATTTGATTTGCATTATCATTAATTTGTGATCTTCCAGCAAACACAGAAGTGCAAGAGAATGGAAAATTTGTTGTTTATTTATTTTTTTTGCTCCTGTTTTTTTCCCCAGTTCACATTTACAAAATTCCCATTCTCCTGCTTGCACTTTTGTCATTGTGTGTGAACCAGCCCTTACAACTTTCTTATTTTATGGTTTTCATTAAATAACGTGGCCACTTAATGAATTATTTTATTATATTTGTACATATTTCATATTTGTATGAACATTAATGATATTTGTGTCTATGTAGCCTACATTTCTAAAGCTGAAGAGTATTAAAACTGATCTATATTCCTTTTATTTTTACCAGAAATAACTGTTTTTCCCCCTYGACCCTTTGCTCTGTCTTCTCCATGYTTAATTTCATCAATAATTTGTAGTCAATTGTGATATTTAGGACAATGTCRGAACCAGGAGATGAAGTTTCAAGTGAAGGCGAATTAGGAAGTTCACCACCWACAGGTCAGAGAAGTTATTCAATAGYAAACATTATAAACTGAAATAAAATACTGATTCAAGCCCAGAATGAAGCATGTRATTTAGATTTGTAAAACCATTCCACAGTAATGGATATTAACAATAAAGTTGATTGATATATATTTGACATTGTAGTAGTAAATGCCTCAGGTTTGATGCAAAATCCTCAACTACTTGCTGCT